TCCCCAACCAAAGATGGAATGCATACCCCCTGCATTGTAGGGGGAAGTCTTAGGAACAAGGCCACTAGGGACGTTCCTAGTAGTTTTCAACATTAGTACAAGGATATTCTATAACTGGGACTTTTAGAATTTTGAGTGGGTCGTGACTTCCCCTGGAGGAGGGCATGACAAACCACTCCAGTACTCTTGCCTGGAGAATCCCATGGACAGAGGAGCCTGGAGGCCTACAGTCCATGGGGTCACAAAGAGTTGGACACGACTGTAGTGACCGAGCACTCATGCATACTATAACTGGGCTTCCCTGGTGGCTCAGAAGGTGAAGAATCTGCCTGCAATGCAGGAGACCTGGGTTCAATCCCTGGGTCAAGAAGATCCCCTGGAGAAGGGAGTGGCAACCCACTCCAGTATGCTTGCCTGAGAAATCCCATTGACAGTGAAGTCTGGCAGGCTACAGTCTGTGGGGTCACAAAGAGTTGGACATGACTGAGTGACTAACATTTAACTATAACTATGGTCAGTTTTCCATATTTCTCTGTCTATGCTTATCCACTGAGACAGGTAATTGATACAGTTCCCAAATTCAAGTTATCTGTGTGAGGATAAATTCTAATAGTTTTCACCATAAAAGACATGATCAGGATAAATGTATCTCATTTCCTTAAATTGTTTACCCATTATCTAACTAGCATATTCAGATTATTGCAATGTGACACAGTAAGAATAGTAAAGTAAAATTCTTTTTAGCATAATCTAAAGCAACCATCTGGATATCCCAGAGTGCCACAATGATACAGGAACATGATTAGATCATCCAAGTGTTTAAGAGGCCACCCAACTTTATTCTCTAATTTTTTCTATGAAAGGAAAACATTAATGTTTTGATTCATCAACCCTTTTACTACCATGGATATAACAACCTCATCTAAAATCACTCATAAAAATCATTTTTTGGAATGAGATATAGAAGAGAGAAAATCACAATTTACATGTGTCTAAGAGCTGTAATATAATCATACAGCTTCCTAAAAAGATAGATAACAGTCATGAATATAGAATCATTGTACAGAATCACAGATCTTCACAGCAGATGTCAAAGGAAGGTTAAGGAAATCATATGAGTTCTAAGAATAAGCAAGAACTAAGAACTACTTTCAGAGAATAGGATTCCTCATCTTGCGTTCTCACCATTGCCACATCCTTGGGGTTCTGTAAATAATCCTAAAGACAGAGTTTAACTATTAATCCCACTAATCATGTGTGGAGGATTTTTATTTTAAGTCTGAATTATCACATCCAGTAAAGCACAGTAAAGCAAGTAGTCAACTAAACTTTAGGCAAAATCAAAGTTCACTCTGAGAGCCTCAACCCAAGAAGTTTTAGACATTAAGCTTCTAGCAAGAGACCCAGAGTCCAGGGTACTCAGGATACCTTGTGTGTGTGCTCAGTCGTCAGCTGTGTCTGACTCTTTCGACTTTATAGACTGTAGCCCGCCAGGCTCCTCTGTCCATGGGATTCTAAGGGCAAGAATACTAGTGTGGGTTGCCAATGCCCTCTTCCAGGAGATCTTCCCAACCCAGGAATCGAACCTGCATCTCTTACGTCTCCTGCATTGGCAGGCATGTTCTTTACCATTAGCACTACCTGGGAAGACCCAATAGTGACAATGTCAGTCACTCAGCTGTGTCTGACTCTTTGTGACCCCATGGACTGTATCCCATCAGGCTCCTCTGTCCATGGAATTCTCCAGGCAAAAATACTGGCGTGAGCAGCCATTCCCTTTCTCAGTATCTTCTTTTCCCAAAGATCCAATCCAGGTCTCCTGCATTGCAGGCAGATTCTTTACTGTCTGAGTCATCGGGGAAGTCCCAGTAAACCTTAGGACCGATCAGCAACTCTCCTGAACCATCTGCTCCTCTGTCACGATTCTCTTTGTCAAAAATATCTCATCTGTGCTCTCTGTGACTCAAACCTGACTGCATACCCCACCTCTGAGCTCACGTCTGAAAACTGATCTCTTGTTCACAAGTGCCTACAATGTGCCTTAACTGCAGATATGTGACGTAAGTCACTGACAGCCAGACTGAGAAAAGCTGAGGTTATAGCTCTGCTCCAAGAAATAAGGAGTCCTCTCCACCTTCTCCCTCAGACAGGGAGCCCTCCTGAGTTGTATCATAGGGCAGTGAACAATGTGACAAGGGATGGCTTTCTTTGAAAAGATACTTTTAATCACACAAGTGTCTATACAGGTATTTGACTGAGATCTGATCATTGAGAATAAATCATATTATTTTGGCCTACAGGATTTTATGGATGGGGAGTAAAATCCAGTTGCCACTATCATTAAACAAAACAACAAAAGCATCAATATAGTTCTTTTAAACCTTCTAATTTTCATTATTTCTTCTGTTACACAAAATAACATGAAGTACTATGAAATGCGGCCAAGTGAATCACCCTATTAGAATGTCTTTGATTTGTTATTTTTCATGGACAGATCACTTATTTTCAGAGATGCTGTGTTTTTGCAATACATGTGGAAGCATACTTAATGTTTTCTTAATTATTACTCAATACCCTAAATGAATCACAAAATAAAATTATATAAAGATTGTGCTGAATACCGATTTAGTTTCGTGCAACTGAAATGTTTTAAAATGAGTTGATCTCAACAGCTGACACGGGAGTTCTTTTTAGGTGGGTCTGTGTTTAGGAAAGTACCTTGAGAAGCCGCTAGAGGGCAGTGGGAAATTGGGAAAATGTGTCAGAACTGTGTTAATGTAAAACAAAATATACAATAAAAAAATACAAAATAAAATGTGTCAGGATAGGATGGTGTGAGAATGAGCTGATTAAAATTCTGAGTCTGGACGCTTTTTCATGGAAAACACTATGAAGTAGTTTTTAATGTTCAATTTCAAATTATTAATTTACAGCCTACGTTAACCTAGGTCACGTGTCCAGAATATCAGTCAAGTCAGTTATGCCAGAAAAGGCCTTCAGTAAAGTGTGTGCATATGTGTGTGTGTGTGTGTGTGTGTGTGTGTGTGTTGAAAATAAGGAAAACTCTTTCTGTTTTTTAAGTTCCTTTTTTTATAGATTTATTTATAGATCCCACTTATAAGGGATGTCATGCGATATTTCCCCTTCTCTCTCTGACTTACTTCACTCACTATGACACTCACAAAACAAAAAAAGACTCACAAACCTAGAGAATGAACTTCTGGTTGCTGGGGGAAAGAATAAAGGGAAGGGGTAGTTAGAGAATTTGCGATGGACATGTACACTGCTATATTTAAAATGGATAACCAGCAAGGACCTACTGTATAGCAAAGAGAACTCTGCTCAGGGTCATGTGACAGCCTGGATGGGAGGGGAGTTTGGGGGAGAACAGATACAAGTATGTATATGTATGGCTGAGTCCTTTGCCGTTCACCTGAAATTATCACAACATTATTTATTAATCAGCTATATATACCCCAACGCAAAATAAAAAACTCTTTTAAAAAAGAAAATAAGGAAAACTCTGAGTTCACTAAGTTAACAGGGTGTGGAACAGTGGCAATAAATTATTTGCTTTAATTTAGCGGAAGCAGGAGTTTGGTAGTAAAGATGACTGTGTCTAAAGACTAGGCTGGATATTCCCAGAAGCCTTGGGGAGTCCCTTGAATATTTCACTAAGTCATAGATATGGGATTTGAGGGTTTCCCTGGTGGCTCAGAGGTTAACGCGCCTGCCTGGATGCGGGAGACCTGGGTTCGATCCCTGGGTTGAGAAGATTCCCTGGAGAAGAAAATGGCAACCCACTCCAGTATTCTTGCCTGGAGAATCCCATGGACGGAGGAACCTGGTGGGCTACCATCCATGGGGTCACAAAGAGTTGGACTCGACTGAGCGACTTCACTTCACTATGGGATTTGAATCAATCTTACAATCTTTAGTAGCAGGATGACTTTAGTTATCACAGAAGATTTTACATTAGCATTCATGTACAAGAAGACACGTACATACCACCATTATCAAGAAAAATATTGGCACAGGGTTTTTAAGGGTTATTGGTTCATGGTGGGAGATAAAACAGTCACAGAATCCAAGTAGACTCTCCTAGTTACTAGAAATGTATTTCTATCTCTATCATGTCTATTTCTATTTCTAACTCTATCTGTAACTATCAGTCAAAAATAAGCAGGGATATATATTTATCTCATGTATATATCACATATGTGATAGTCAGGTCCAACCTCACACAACCCCTTATAGCCCACCAGGCTCCACTGCTCATGGAATTCTCCAGGCAAGAATACTGGAGTGGGTAACCATTCCCTTCTCCAGAGGGTCTTCTCAACTTAGCGACTGAACCCAAGTCACCTGCTTGGCAGGCGAATTCTTTATCATTGAGCCACCTGGGAAGTCATATATACATCGGGGATTGATAAACTATGAACCACGGGCCACACTCAGCTTTCTGTTTATGTAAGTTTTTATTGTATTAATGGTAATTCAGCCACACCATTGTCTGTGGCTGCTCAAACTACAGAGGCAAATTCGAGTTCAGTTCAGTTCAGTCGCTCAGTCGTGTCCGACTCTTTGCGACTCCATGAACCGCAGCACAGCCAGGCCTCCCTGTCCATCACCAACTGCCAGAGTTTACTCAAACTCATGTCCACTGGGTCAGTGATGCCATCCAACCATTTCATCCTCTCTCGTCCCCTTCTCCTCCTGCCCTCAATCCTTCCCAGCATCAGGGTCTTTTCAAATGAGTCGGCTCTTTGCATCATGTGGCCAAAGTATTGGAGTTTCAGCTTCAACATCCTTCCAATCGAGTAGTTGTGTCAGAAACTTTAGGGACCTCAGGATTTGTGGTTCTGCTAGTTTAGTGATCTTTGTTCCCAATTAGGAATTCTTCCACCATGAGACCCAGTAATATAGTTCCATTAAATTAGAAGTTGAGCCTATCACCCGGCCACTTGGAGCTTCTCATGCCAGTAAATCAACAGGCAAAGATGGAGGTGAGTGTCCTGCCTGCGTAATTAATTCTGAGTAGGTAGAAGAAATGGATTGCTACTACACCAGGGCATAAAATATAAACACTGTATTGTACATCTGGAATTCAGGTGATTCTCGGGTACGCCGGTGTTCTCAAATTGGTTGTTATTTAAAGTGTCCAGCAGATGGTGCTCAAGCAGCACATTAATGCATGGTTGACTTAGGGGCTCCCATTGGCTGACGATTGGCTCCTGGCCAGCCATCCTTCGCCTGAGAAAGGTAAAGGATGGATTTGCAATTGCTAATGCTAGAGCTGGACAGCCCCCTGATTCTATATACGAGCTGAATGTAATTGCTTATTTAACTTTTCATGTAGGAAGAATAAAGGTCAAACCAATACCTTACAGCTTTTATAGACCTTTACTGATACATTTTTTTATGGAATCATAAAATCGTCTTGAAATTAAATCAGAAAGTGTTATGGGCATAAGGGCAATACTTTATAATCATATGCTATACTTTTAATTGAAAAGTCATATTTGAAAGGTATGCTCTAATTTTAATTCATGCTTTGCACACTGTTTTGTTCTACGATTAGCCTTTAATCCTGAACAAGAACACTCAATAAGGCATGTTTGATTTTTTCGAAGACTCCCTCATCAGGTGAAATAGTCAAAATATTGTAGAGAATGTCAGCTAAAATGTATAATTCTATAGATAATCAAAAGCAATTGCTAGGCAAAGTTGAAAAAAGTTAGGCCATGTAAAGGATTTCATTGTTCTGGTCAAAATGCTTGAAAACATAGGATCTGGAGAGCAGCTTGGATTCAAATGCTCTGTATAATTTGGAAAAAGGTTCTTAGATTTTCTGTGCCTCATTTTCCTCACCAATAAAATGAGGATCATTCTAATTTCTTTCTCACAAGTTTACTCTGAAATCATATGAATACAAAGAAAGCACTTTCAGAACATTTTTGGTATGTGGGAAGTACTAAATAAATTCAAATAATATTGTCATTATAATTTAATAAACAAATTTAAATGTTGTAAATATATGTCCGAATTATTAAAATTTTACTGTATAATTTGGACTGTTCATTTAAGGTAATTTTGTCCTTTTTTCTTATTTAAGTGTTTCATGCAAATCATCTTTCTTTATAAAATACAATGTTATCATCTTCCATTTAAATAGCATGACATTTGGGCTATATGTAATTAACTTGAAATGGATTTCAATTTTAAATCAGGATTTTATTCATTAGTCAGAATTAATTTCCTTAGACCTTTTTATGAATGACACATTCTGTTTCAATATACCAATATTTATATGCTTGATAATTAAAATATAGTTGTGAATTTTATGCTTAACTGGAGTAAATAGTTTAGAAAGCACATCCTATGTATTTTTAAAAGGCTCTCTATTTAATATATTTCAGTTAATTCTATAGATACAACCACCCATGGGTTTTCTTCTAGTGCAAAAGTTTGCTAAAGCTGACTGACTTTAATAGGAACACTGGAGGGCTCCCCTCTCCCCAGTGGTCTCATTTATGGAGACTGCTGCGCCTGTTTACATTGAGCAACTATCCGTGAAGTCCTTACAATGTGACTTTGATTATACTGAAAAGCTATCAGTACTCCTGAAGTTAGTGAATGCATTTAATAAAACCCTACGATATACACTTATTTTGCAACTATTTTTTTGCAATAATTTTGCAATTATTTAGAAAATAATTCTAAAATTTTCTGATAAAAAGAAATCTGCCAAACTGTTAGTGTTTTGAAACAGATGTAACAATGAGAACCATGAGCTCTCATAGCAAAGTATAGCCTACTAAAGAATAAAACATATTTGGATGCAATAATCACTAAAGTATTATCATGTTGGCATGAAAATGTATCAATGAAAAAGAACAGAAAGTTCAGAAACATAAATTGTATATGATAACTTAAATATAAGGAAGTATATATCACTAAGTATTGGCAAAAGGGATAACATTTAATAAACAATGTTATGAAAAATAACCATTTAGAAAAATAGATACACATAACATATTAAGGAATAAATTCCAATCAGGTTAAAGGGTTAAATAAAAAAAATCAATTCTTAAGGAAAGCCAAACCTCTCAAAAATCCTGCAAGATTTTTAATATTATTTGCATAGTGTGACTGGAAAAGCTTATCTCAAAGAAGTTAAGTAGCCTACCCAAGATCACTGTGCTAATTAGTGAAAGAGTAAGTGGTCAAATGCAAGTCTAGTTTTTTAAATATAATTTTATTTATTTATTTCAGTGGCTTCTCTTGTTGCTTATTGCAGAGCAACAGGCTCTAGGGCTTCAGTAGGTGTGACTGCCAGGTTCTATAGCACAGGTTCAGTAATTGTAGTGTATGGAACTCAGCTGCTCCACAGCCTGTGGGGTCTTCCCAGACCAGGGATTGAACATGTGTCCCTTGCATTGATTGGCAGGTGGATTCTTACCACTGAGCCAGGAGGGAAGCCCACGCAAGGCTATTTAAATACAAAATCTATAATATTCCATTACAATTCTATACTAAGTGCTTGGAATGGTGCCTGGCATGTTTTGAACTAAACAAATTTATCATTGTTAGTTGTGTTTACATCATTGCAATCATTATTATCCATAGAATTAGAGGAGAGTTGCAAAATTGATGAAATAAATAAACCAGTTTAGAAATAAATATGACCTGGAAAAAAGGCAAGTTAGTAGTATATCTTTACATGATGTTGTCCAGAGTTTACCAAGAGCCATTCAAATTTTTAAACCTCCTGCTTTAGTGATTCTTGGTAATTTGTTTCAAGGAAGCAGCAAAAAGTGGATAAGAATATTTTCTGCACAAAGGAAAAGCTCCTCTGTGACAGTAAAAATTTGAAAATCATCTAAAACTTGAAGAATTGACATTACTTCATTAATTAAATTTGCTGCGTTAGCACAATAGAATAGTAGGTTAATTGTTTTAAGTGATAATTAAGTGATAATGCAGCAAAAGGAAGGACATAAATGTAATCTTGGTAAAAATTTAATTAATCACAATTATTATGCTTGCAGAGAAAATCACATACAGGGCTACCATCCCAAGGATAAAGAACTTCAGTGGTTCTTTTCGTTGCTTTTTTTTTTTTTTTAATATTTTTTATGTTTGTTCAATTCATAAAGCTGGGAGATAATATATTTAGGTAATTTGCTTAATATATTCATAAATATAATTATCATTTCCAAAGACACAGAGTATATTTGACATTTAAATTCAAATTAATGTGCTTTAATTATATTGTTTCAGCTTATTACAAAGGGATAAATTTAACATACTAAGTAATATATTTTCACTTTTTTCCAAATTAGAATAAAAATAATTTTTTGTTTAATCCTTGTATTTAATCTCTTTAATCCTTAAATTAATTCACAACTAATAATTAACCACTGGAGGAGGTTGAGAAACCATGTCTAAATTTTAGTAGGAATTTACTATGATTAAGGATAATCACTTCCATAGTCTTTGAAGAATCTAGAGCTTTTCTGATTTCTCTCGGTTCATTAATGTGCCATTTTTAAAACCTAATTAGTAAAACTCTTCCTTCTATATCTCATCCTTGTCCCATAAATTCATCTTGTTAATGTTAATGGGAAGATAATGACTGCATTCCTGTTTTATAACCGCTACCTTTTCTTTAATAGATAAAGATTAATGGTGATTCTAAGTAGGAGAATATTGGCCCAGGAGGGGATAGGCAAAGAAGCAGAAATTGTACGCAACCTGTTGTAACTTCTTTTTCAAGCTTTCAAATACACATGATTTTATTGTCTCTATTCCAGGTACTTGAACAATATTAGCATTATTTTGAAATGATGTGTTTTTTAATAAACAAACCAACAAACCAAAACCTACCAATGTAACACTTTCTCTTATCTATTAGGTGTGTTGTTTTGTACTTCTTTAGAGAGTTCCTTTAGATTTAGACAGAGGTTTTATTATATCACTGTTGTGTCTACATAAAAAAAGATAACTAGAGTCAAACCAAATCAATTAATATATTTCTTTTAAAATATTTAAATCTTTTTTCTTCTTTCTTTAGTTTTTAATTGGAGGGAAATTACCTTGAAATGTGTTATTTCTGCCATACAACTCAAATCAGTCACAATATTACATACATCACCTCCCTCCTTTCCCCCATGCCATCCCCGAGTTATCACAGAGCTCCAGACTGGACTCCCTGTATTACATATCAGCTTCTCACTAGCTATCTATTTTACACATGATGGTCTGTGTATGTCAATGCTAGTTTCTCCTTTCCTCCCACTCTTTCCTTACCCTACAGTGTCCACAAGTCCTTTCTCTGTATCTGCATCTCCGTTCCTTCCCTGCAAATAGATTCATCAATAACGTTTTCCTAGATTTGTGTGTTTGTGTGTGCGTGTTAATATACTATATTTGTTTTCTCTTTCTGACTAGCTTTACTCTGTAGAACAGGCTCTAAGTTCATCCATTTATGTTGATGAACCAATTTTATTTCTAAAACGTCTGTAGCCTCAGATCCGACTTTTACAAGTCTTTCTTTGAATTAGAGTAGTTTGGTCCTCCTTGTTCACGTAGTATCATCCACTGTGCCTCACCAAGAACTGTGGTGAGGTGGACACTCTGAAAAGTGCCCCTGTTATCCCAGCTTTCTTCCAAACTGTTCCTAGTTTTCATGTGCAGGTTTCCTTGAACATTACCAAATACTACCACATTCCTTCCTCTTCTTTTACCTTAGGTATTTGCTGAAAGACCTTTTTCACTAGTGTCTTTTGCTGATCACCATAAATAAATTGCAACAAAACCATCCATATCACTTTTCTTCTTCCCCTCATTATTTTTTCCCATAGCATTTATTCCCCCTGACATCAAAACATTTCCTCAATTTATGTATTTATTTTCTGTTCCCCAAACATACTACACTGTAAGTTTATGAAGCAAGATTTTACTTCCCTTTCCACCTTCCCTTTTTTTTTTTAACCCAAAACCTATCATGATGCCTATCCCATAATAGATATGCAATGAATAACTGATGAATGACTCAGTGACTATCCACCTAAACTATGGAAAATTCATAAAAGTATTCCTAGTTCGCTGGAATCAGAATGACAAGGTTTACACAGTGAGAAAGTGCACTTCTGCAGGAACACTCCTGTAAGGTAACAACCCTGTCCCTTTTTGCTCACATTCTCCTCCCTAGGTGTGTTAATATGAACGTGCGCAGAAGCCACCAGAACTCTTGAGTTTAGGGTACACTCTTTCCCTCCCTTCTGAATACCTTGAGTGTAAAACTGTTTCTGGTCAACTCTTGGCTTAGAGACTATATGTCTCTTTTCAAGTTATCTGTTTCCACAAAATTTCATGGGTTTGGTTGTGTGAACTTAATTGGATACTGAATATGAACTGAACTGAACTGAATGTGAATATTTTACTATGCAACTGATGCATAATAAATGCACTATAAATATGAGCTATTATTAAGTTTTAAGGTACCCTGGGCTCTGTTCTAGCATCTTACATGGGTTTGACAAAAGTATTCAAATCTATTTGAAATGCATTATGTATGGAATGTCTAGAAAGAATCCCATGCAGATATGTGGAATAAGATTCAGTAGGTGTGCATGTGTTTAAACGTGGTAAATGTGGACTTTATCCCACGGCTGCCTCCTTAGAAACCAAATAACGTTTCAGATAATGGTGGGGAGAGGAAAGCAGAGGAAAAAAGCATATAGTACTGCAGGTATAGCAAACTAAGTCATGGGAAGCTTTGAAGTAATTTGCTTCATAAAAGGGACTTCCGCAGTGGCGCAGTGCTAAAGAATCTGCCTGCAATGTAGGATCCACAAGAGACATGGGTTTGACCCCTGGGTCCAGAAGACCCCCCTGGAGGATGGCATAGCGACCCACTGCAGTATTCTTGCCTGGAGAATCCCATGACAGAGGAGCCTGGCAGGCTGTAGTCTAAAGGGTTGCAGAGTAAGACAGGACTGAGGCAACTTAGCACACATGCATACACATCATAAAAGTATGAAAAACAGAGATGAATTCAGCTTTCTGCACTTATTATTCTGTCCAGTGTGTTCATCACATTAAACCTGTGAGGCTTCACTAGCTAATCTGGAAAGAGGTGCCTACCCTGCTTGATTATTCCCTAATATTGCATCCTGTTCACTTACTTCATTGCACTATACATTTTGCAGTTATTTATTTATTCTTGGTGTACTAGTTTCTTCTTGTTTTTTCCCACTAGTATATAATTTGACAAGGACAGGAATGATTCATTATATTTCTGGCACCTACCAGAATGCCTAGTACAGGGAGGTACTAAATTAATGCTTGTTTAAAAGAAATTAAATAAAGAGAAACATTCAGGAAAATATAGTGGATATCTAAAGAAAAATTTTGTAAACCATTTGGAAATTCCTTTTTTGCTAACTTGTATGGATATAACTTTGGGATGGCAGCAAAAATGATCACAAGCCCAGGATCGTCTATCCATGGGATTCTCCAGGCTAGAATACTGGAGTGGGTTGCCATGCTCTCCTCCAGGGGATCTTCCTGATCCAGGGATCAAATCCACGTTTCCATCTCCCATGTCTCCAGGATCTGTAGATGGATTCTTTACCGCTGAGCCAAAGGGGAAGCCTCCCAAATAGGCAGACTTTTCAGCTTTTCTCTCAAGTTTGCAAATCAGTAGCAATGTAAGGCACAGTGGGAGGGTATTAGATTGGTATAGTGGGGACAAAAAAGCACCAATAATCCTGGATTCAAGGAAATCTGATATTTCCCCCCAGTTTTCCTTATGACTGTAATGTTGGGAAAGTCATCAGACTTTCTCTAGACTTGGTCACCTCCTCTGTGACATGAGGTTCTTGGGATATATCCTGAGAACCCTGTGATCTTTGTTTTAATTTATAGCATTTAAAAAACATTTAATGAGTTTATTATTTTTTTAATTAATTAATTTTTACATTTACAGTTTTAATTTCTAATGTGACAAATATCAATAGAGCTATCCCACACACGAAAATGTTACTTGGGTACTCAATAATTTTCAAAAATTTAAAGAAGTCCTGAATCAAAAAAAAAAAAAAATCGAGAACACCTGATCTAAGAAAAATGCAGTATCAGTCCTCAAAAAGAGAAAGTCCTCCAAACACTGACTATGAGGCAGAGTTAGAGTTAGCCTACACATTGTTCACCACGTGACTAGCTAAGTAATAATCATCACAATAATTTATGCCGTATTCATCACGTGCGCTTGCTGTTCTAAGTAATTTACTTGTAACATGATTGAATCACACAGTCCTTACAGCAAACCTATGAGAAAGGCCCTACTTTTCTAGTTTATAAATGAACCAGGAGGTGTTAATGATTTGCTGGTAAATAGCGGTGCCAGGCCTGCGTCTATAGTCTTCCTTTAGAGTCTGTGTACTCAGTCACATTCTGAGTTCCTGGTAAGTGTGGTGTGTGCATGGAGCAGAACATCACGCAGCAGTCAGGAACAATGGGTGGAATATTACATAGCCTCACATAGGTAGATGCGGTACAAATCACATTAAATTAAAAAATACAGGGAGATGGAATAAAAAAAGTTATTATTTTTCAATAACTTTATAGGAAAATACTATTTGTATAGGGACTAATAAAAAGTTATTATTGTCCAATAACTCAATAGGAAAATACCATTTGTATATATATTTGAAATAGATAAAATAGCACCATAGTGCTTTTAAGTATAAAGAAGTGTTTCAATACATGTGTAGAAGTTGAATTGAAAAGACATTATTTGTAACTCCAAATCAGTGACTTATGATGGGNAAGAAAGCGTGAGGTACAGTGCCTGCAGAATGTAGGAAGTAGAGCAAAATCCCTGGAAGGATAAGAACTCTAGCGATGAATCTTTCTGGCAACCTAAAAAATTGAATATTGTGACATAAAATATGCCCCGCTCATTACTAAATCCCTAAGCCCTTATTTTCTACTTCTCTCTGATCTTCTTTTTGCTGGAAAAGGAAATGTTTATTTCCCAATTCAGCTAGCATGGGAATGCAGTGAGTCAGAATGCTAATTTTGTGGGAAGGTTTTGTTTATGCCAGGGTCATTTTATTTAACATTTTCTGTTTCCTTACACAAATCGGAATGTTTCACTGAGTTTTCCTTAACTAAGCATTGAAGCAATGAAAACAATAATTTCTTTCATAAAACAAAAACAAACAAACCAAAACCCCCATGTCTTCCCTTTCATTCAGTTCAGTTCAGTTCAGTTCAGTCACTGTCTTATCTTGTATCTCCTGCTGCAGAAACATGCCTTCCCTTTCATTAGCACGGTCTTATCTTGTGTCTCCTCCTGCAGAAACTTGTCAAGTTTAATTTTGTAATTTTGTGGGGCACCCAGAGATGTTTTTCCCAATCCCTTTTGGTAGGGGCTCCAGCACTCCAGTTCCCCAACACACCTTAAAGCCCTTTATAACTTTATTTCACTACCTTAGGGATTCCTCTTTCTCACCAATCCAGGAGCTGGGTCACTTTAAAGAGCTGAGTAGTCAGGCAAATCTGTTTCCTGTTGTTAGAACTACCCTTTCCTGAGGGAATTAATTCCAACAGGAGGGAAGAAAATGTTGAGCCTGATTTAGTTCTAAGCCTTGCTTTTTTTGTCTTCCCCGTCTGTGGTACAGGGTCAAGTTCCTTCTTTCCTTGTAGCTAAAAACCAGGAGCTATCTCTTTAAGAAGAGAGTGACTTTTCTGATTAAACTTCAAAGAATAAATGGTTTAAAAAATGCAGATGGGGAAAGGGTCCCTCGGGCTGAGGCTGATGAGTAAAAGATGTCCACAAGTTGATAGGTGAATTTGTTGAAAAGTCCTGGAAGATGTGAAATAAGATTTCTAAATCCTGAACTCTGACTTCAGTTCTTCAGAGACATATTTACAGTGAAATCTACAACTTCCTCTTTCCATGGGTTCTGATAAATACAGTCTGAAGACAGGAAGAAAGCCACATAAATGGTGTTCTAAACATTCTCCAGCACTGTAACTCCATGAGGTATCATTTGGTCTATGCCTTATGTAGACACTGTTGTAGATCCAATCTGTGGGCAGGCTAAAACTCCCCCTACATAACATCTTTGAACCACTTTTTCCAGGATGCTGTTTTTTCTTTCTCTAAATACTCAATTCTTTCTTCTAACATTAATTTCAAGAAGCAGACAGAATATTTCTTGGTTCTGAAACATAATACCCACTCTTGTAAAATTATCACATTTCCTTATCCTTATCTCCATTATACAGAATTCTTAAAGTTAGTCCCTCTTCTGTCATTTCAAGTTCTAAGTTAATCAAAACAAAATATTTCACTAGACCAATGACACATCTCATGGAAAGGGATTTGTTGCATAAACCAATACATCTTTATACAAGGTTCATGATACATGAGTATTTATTAAATGTCAAAATGCTATCCTTAATTTTCATATCTCCCTTTATATGTCATGTATTATATTTCACTTAGTTATTTTCTAACCTTAGTTACTACGAAGTTATCCCATTTATTACATAGCCTTATGATTAATTTGAAAAAGTAAAATTTAGATTCCCTATACTGTCATTGTTTCTTAATACTAAGAGAAGCATTTCATTAGTTTTTTTTTTTTTTTTAAGTTTCTAATCTTAAAGCCCTTGAAGTTAAATTCTCTCTGTAAAATTCTACTGACACCTGTTCTCCTTAACAGTTTTCTGTAAGGGGCAGATATTAACATTCTGTTTGCAAACACATAAATGTCACCCCAGGAAGGAAGGAGCTTTGAGTTTCTATTATAAAGGGACACATTTTCTAACAGTGCAACCCTGGAAACGGAAAAGTGAAAATTAGAGTCCAGTACAAGTTACCCAAAGGGCAGAGATATTTGGATTCTACGGAAGGTCCCACTTCCCACCGGGCCCCTCCTTTCCTTCCTTTTTCCAGCCGCCGCCCAGGCGCGGGCGGGAAGGGCTGGGCGGCCGCCGACACGCCCGGGCAGGGCGCTCGCGTCCTTCCACCTTCCAGACGCCGGATTGACAGTCCCCGCAGAAATGTGATAACAGGTGCTTCTACAATGGAAGTCATGTGCCATGAACTCCGCAGTTGTGTGCCGGCATATGTACTAAGCCGCTTCAGTCGTGTCCTCTGACTGACTCTCTGCGACCCCATAGACTGTACCCTGCCAGGCTCCTCTGTCCACGGAATTCTCCAAGCAAGAATACTGGAGTGGGTTGCCATTTGCTTCTCTAAGGGAGCTTCCCGACCCAGGGATGGAACCCACCTCTCTTGCATCTCCTACATTGGCAGGCTGGTTCTTTACCGCTAGCCCCACCTGGGAAGTCCAATTTCCTAAAAATATCTTACTTGTTTTACTTCTCATCACTACACAAGACAGGTCTTAGAAATAGGCCTAACACACTTAGATCTGTAGTACTTAAAAAGGAAGAAAAAAAATTTCAGATACAGAGGATCTTGTTATCCTGTCTTTTGTTAGTAACTCCAAGTGTCAAATAAATAAGATAGTCTATTAATTACATATGAAACTATAAATTTCTTTAAAAGTAGGACAAATTATATGTACTCTTTAAAATCTATAAAATATAGGTATTGAATAAGTCACTTAAAATGTGCAAGAGCTTCACTAGGACAATATACCTTTTGTGGGTTTTTGTTTGTTTGTTTTTTTAACCTTAGACATGTCAGGCTTAATCAGGCAAACTGGTTTAACACCATCAGTCTAACCTCAGAGGTGTCCAAAGACAGTGAGTTACAAACAGGTGTGGTGCGAAATTATAAACTCAAGCAATTTCTTCACCCCAAATTCGAGTGGACTCTTCCTTTAAGTTTCCAACTGTGTTTATTTCCTTGACTATTCCTCAATGTCAATAGCTTTTTGGAGCAAGAATCCATTTAGAAAAGATTAAAAATACTCATTTAAATAGCATTTTCTGTTTGTTACTTCTATGACACCAAGTTTTTTGGTTTTTGTTTTTTAAGTTGATGGCTTTCAGGCATGTTGAAAACCTTGTATGATTATATTTCATTACTTAGACTACATTTTTGGCCTAGTAGATCTCAGATAAAAATCCCAGCCTAACCTATAAGCCAAGAACATGACTTTCTGATTGAGTTTCTAGGGCTGGCATAAATAGATGTATAAATAAAAAACCTCTTAAAAATTTTATTGGTGGTGATTAACATTAATTCATTTACATATTTATTCACTTAAAACATTTTATGAGCTGGACCCTGGAAATATTAAATATTAAAGAGCAGACACATTACTTTGCTAACAAAGGTCCATCTAGTCAAAGCTATGGTTTTTCCAGTAGTCCTGTATGGATGTGAGAGTTGGACTATAAAGAAAGCTGAGCACTGAAGTATTGATGCTTTTGAACTGTGGTGTTGGAAAAGACTCTTGAGAGTCCCTTGGACTGCAAGGAGATCCAACCAACCATCCTAAAGGAAATCAGTCCTGAATATTCATTGGAAGGACTGATGCTGAAGCTGAAACACCAGTGCTTTGGCCACCTGATGCGAAGAGCTGACTCATTGGAAAAGACCTTGATTCTGGGAAACATTGAAGGTGGGAAGAGAAGGGGATGACAGAGGATGAGATGGTTGGATGGCATCACCGACTCAGTGGACACGAGTTTGAGTAAACTCTGGGAGTTGATGATGGACAGGGAGGCCTGGCATGCTGCAGTCCATGGGGTCTAAAAGAGTTGGACACAACTGAGCAACTGAACTGAACTGAACCGAAACATAGTAGTTTCTACACTCCAGGGAAGAGAAGTTTGGAAGGAAAAAGTACCTGTAGGCAAATTATTGGATAGTCAGGTAAAAGTGAATTCAGGGAGGACAGATCTGAAGAGCCTTTACATCTCATATAAGGAATTTGTTGAGTTTGCTCTGGTAACACAGAACACAAAATGGAGACTTGGAGGTAGGGATGGGTGGAGAGGAATCACTAACAGCAATATATCCCTCCAGACAATTCAAGCACAAGTAAGATTTAGCCAGCAGAAGTGAAGTACAAGGAAATGGACAAAAAGAAAGGGGTTTCTAAGTAGCAGCAGACAGTAACAGCATGTCACAGGTAGAGTTGAGGGTGTAGAATTATGACCTGAAAATAGAATGAACTTACTGAGTTCAATTCAATGTCTTATGCTTCTCAGTTGGAGGATCTTGGGCAAGTTTATTTTTTAAAGTCTGGGCCTTTGTTTCCTCTTCTGTAAAATGGGGTTGACAAAAATATTCCCACCACTAAAACACATTATATTTAATAATACATATATTTACAACAGAATCTGGCACATAATAAGTGATTGAAAAACCTAAGTTCTAAAAAGCTTAAGTCCCTTTTGCTTTCTAGATGGTTTTCCTTCTCTGTAAGACTTCCTGTATAGGCATTTTTCCATATCTTCCTTCAGTCTTCCCAGGATCATTCTCTAATACCCACAAAGGAAGTTCCTGAAGTTAGGGGTTATTAGATTTTGTTAACTATAGCAGTCACACAAACCACATCCTCAGGAGGCTGCATCTCAGGGTTGAACCCAAAGAAGATTGCCAGCAACATGTATCACTAAATCCTGGACCCAGGTTATGCTGTGGGCTAAACTTCCTGCTCCTCCATCATAATACAAAAATAACAGGACCACCATTCAAATGAAAATTGCACATCAGATCTCCTAGAGAAGGGAATGGCAACCCACACCAGTATTCTTGCCTGGAGAATCCCACGGACAGAGGAGCCTGGTGGGCTACAGTCCATGGGGTCGCACAGAGTCAGACATGACTTAAGCGACTTCACACAGCCAGCAGCACAGAATTAATATTAAGGTGTGTTTATAGGATGCTTAGTATATACCCAGTGCTAGATAAGTACAAAGATAATAAAATAGCTTAGAAACAAAAGCCTCTAATAGGCTGGGGGAGATAAAAGAAATGAGAAATCATTTGATATCAGGTCTGCAGAGGAAGTGGTGTCAGCGAGAACAGGTGAGTTGAAAGGACTGCAGAATGTCCAGTAGAGAGGATGGGAGTGAATTCACTCACTGAAGGAAACTCACAGAATTGTCATATCCTGGTTTTCAACGTAGATGTTGCTTTGCAGCAATATGTTGATAATAAACTCAGTGAGACCCATGCTATGAATTCAGTAATTATTTACTGAGAAGCCATTTGTATATTCTTGGTACTTGGTAAGATTTAATTACCTCTACTAGATATTTTGCCTGCCTGATATTTCTTCTGGGAGGTAACTGTGCTTGGAATTCACTGTAATAACTTCAATATAAGATGCCTGGCCTTCACCTAATGAGGCTGTTTATTTACCAGAGTACTCAAAGAGCCTTGTATAAGATACTTTCACATGAAAAGTGGACCTAGACCAGATGTCAAATACCCAGTCCTTGGCCTGCTAAAGTAACCTTGTCTACTAGCTCTGCAAGACTTTGGCCCTGGAAAGAAAACTTTTTTATTTAGCTGATGATTCCCTGGCCCAGCTGGATCATGGCCTCAATTGGGTTAGCTTGGCCAATCTCTGCTGAGCTCTTTCAGACATGTACTGTCAGCTGGAGAGTTGGCTGGCGGCTGGATAATGTAGAACCAATGTCCTCATATGTCAGGCAGTCTTCAAGCTGTTGGTCAGGATGATGGGCTGTCAGATGAGCACCTCGTTTCTAGTCCATGGTGGTCTATTACCCTCCAGGAGGCTAGCTTGGGCTCAGTCACATGGTGCACTCAGGGTTCCAAGCAGAGCAAGCCTTTTGAAGCTTAGAGTTGGAGTTCTCTTCATATCACTCCTGTTGCATTCTCATAATCAAAACGAGAAACAATGCTAGCCCAGATTCAAGGAGTGGGAAATAGAATCAGTCTCTTGATGGGAAAAGCTGCAAAGTATTTGCAGCCATTTGCAGTTGGGCACAGAAATATATGTATTTTTGATGTGAATATGATCTCCACATTGGTGGCCAATTATCAAATTGGCAACTCCCTATAAAATAAAATGTGACCACTGAGTTAATCAGAGAGTTTTCACACATTTTCCTCACTGGTATATGTACTAATTTTCCAAATAATATGTTTGATAGCAAGATTTATGACAACATTATAGTTCACTTGTTGGCATGGTTGTTTTGGGCTTTTTATTTATCACATAGTAATGTGATAAATGTTATACGTTTGTTGGAGCACTTATTTCTTGAAACAACAGTGGAAGGATATATAGCAACTTGTTAAAATATAGTTGACCCTTGAATAACACGGGGGTAAAAGGTGTCAATCTCCTCAAAATAAAAAATCTGCATATAATTTATAGTCAGCCTTTCATGTATGTGGGATTCCCAGGTGTCTCAGTGGTAAAGAATTCTTCTGCCAATGCAAGAGACACAGGAGATGCAGGTTTGGTCCCTGGGTCAGGAAGTTCCCCCTGGATAAAGAAATGTCAGCCAACTTCAATATTCTTGTCAGGGAAGTCCCATGGACAGAGGAACCTAGAGGACTACAGTCCATGGGGTTGCAAAGAACTGAACACACACACATGCTCATTCCATATATGTGGTTCCTCCATGTCTAAAGTTCCTCATCCGTGGGTTCAACCAATCCATGATTGTGTGGTACTAAGAAAAAATCCAAATATAAGTGGACTCACGTGGTTCAAACCCATGTTCTTCAAGGGTCAATACACATGTGTATATATATAGTTGTTGTTTAGTCAATAAGTTCTATCTGACTCTTTGTGATCCCATGGACTATAGCCTGCCAGGCTCCCCTGTCCATTGAATTTTCCAAGCAAGAATGCTGGAGTGGGTTGCCATTTCCTTCTTCATATATATATGTATACACACATACACACACATATATATGCATATGCAATGATTTATAGTGTATAATTTGCTATAACTCAGAGAACAGATTTGAAGTGAGTATTATGCTTTCTCATCTTTAATCAGAATATTTTGCTGTGAAAAATGAAAATCTCTCAGTTGTCTCCCACTCTTTGTAACCCCATGAACTGTAGCCTACCAGGTTCTTCTGTCCATGGAATTCTCCAGGCAAGAATACTGGAGTGGGTAGCCATCTCCTTCTCCAGGGGATCTTTCCAACCCAAGGATTGGATCCAGGTCTCCAACATTGCAGATGGATTTTTTACAGTCTGAGCCCCCAGGGAAGCCCAAGAATACTGGAGTGAGTAGCCTATCTCTCCAGCGGATCTTCCCAACCCAGGAATCAAACTGGGGTCTCCTGCATTGCAGGCGGCTTCTTTAGTTGCTAAATCTTCTCTGACTTTTTGTGACCCCATGGACTGTAGCACACCAGGCTCTTCTGCCCATGGGATTTCCCAGGCAAGGATGTTGGAGTAGGTTGCCATTTCCTACTCCGAGAATAGTTTGCTATTCAGAATGAAATATTGTTTCATTCCACTAGAATAAGAAATTTTTTTAAATGTGATAAACAGTTCATGAATATGAAATCAGAACGGGATTAGAGAGGATTAATGCAAAATTGTTAAATATGGGACAATTTATAACAGTGAAATTTAATTTTGTGATTAGTTTAACTTTGTAAAAATAGAGATTGATGCTGACCTTAAAATAACGTAAGATTATTGCCTTTGAGACCTTCTCTTTTAAACCCCTCTTCTCTTGGTCAAACTTCAAGTCAATGGAAAGAGTATTATGGAAATACTATAACCTTCCCAAATAATATATAATTGTGATAATAGGTAATTATGTATGTATATATGCATTTATACGAATTATGTAATTAACTGTTTACACAGAAGTGATTAAACCAAATGCCTATTATAGTCTATTATTTTCCTATTTATCAGAAGATAAAGATGTTTTTTACTTAGTAATTAAATATTTTAAATTTAGCTTATATTGTAGATATATGTAAGCTAAATTATGTATTTATATATATGCATGTATATACATACATATATACACAGTCATTTTAGTTGAGAAGCTATATATATATACATATACATATACATATATGTGTGGTGATTCATATGTAGAGAGAGACAGAGAGAAAAAGAAGAAATAATAGGAAATTTAGGAATAGTTTTCTTTTTCTACATAGTTTCTTGCTATGTAAAAGCCATAATATCAGAAGAAATCTTAATTTTCCTCTAATGCATTGTCCAAGGATATCTTAATTGTATTACTTAAAAATTATGTTATCAACATAGCTGAAATATAAATGATTTCATGTTTGCTTTCCACTTGCCGACAAAGATATTTCAAATGTAAAAAAAAGGCATTTTCTTCATACACTAGCTGTTATTTATTTATTTTAGAGATGCAGTCCAGAGAAAAGTGCTTCATTCTTCAGTAAGATGACCTATTCCTGGTTTAGTAGGTAAGAATTTTACTAATTCATCTGTGGTGTAACACATTGAGGAAAATTCTGAGTGAAATGACACTTACATGTTATTCCTCTAATCTAAGTGTGTATATTTTTACAAAATAACTTTGCAAAGGTTTTCTTCTCATGTGATTTATTCCAAAAACATCACAAATAGTAACATACAAAATAGGTCCACAGATAAGACTGTGAATATTCCTGCAATATGGCTGCCCATTTATAGTATTTCTGTCCCTGTTAGCACTAGGAAGGGAAAATGAATATATACATATACACATACACATACATATACATATATATGAGGCTTCCCTGGTGGCTCCGTGGTAAAGAATCTGCCTGGAGTGCAAGAGACCTGGGTTCAATCCCTGGGTTTGGAAGATCTCCTGGAGGAGGGCATGGAAACCCACTCTAGTACTCTTTCCTGGAGAATTCCATGGACAGAGGAGCCTGGTGGGCTACAGGCCATAGGGTCACACACAGTTGGACATGTCTGAAGCGACTAAGAAGCAGCTGCAGATGTATATATACACATATATGTTTAATCATCATGTATCTGCTATTATATTTTATTTCATGTAATTTCCCCCTAAGTCCTATGAGCTAGGCATTTACAGATGAGGACATTTGAGGCTCAAGGAGAGGGAAGCCAGGTAGGCTTGATATCTAGGTAGGAGGTACCTAGGCAGGAGGAGCAGACTGACCTGATGTTAGAAGTCAGTTTGAGTTCAGGTTTCAAGCTTTCTTTGTTGTTTTGTTATTCTACTTTTTACTGGAAATGCTCTCATTTATACTTATCTATGTAGTGTAGCAGTAGTCACTCCATCGTGTCTGCCTCTTGTGACCCCATGGACTGTATCTCACCAGGCTCCTCTGTCCATAGAATTCTCCAGGCAAGAATACTGGAGTGGATTACCATATCCTTCTCCAGGGGATCTTCCCGACCCAGAACTCAAACCTAGGTCTCCTGCATTACTGCCAGATTCTTTACTGACTGAGCTACAAGGGAAACTTCAGAATACTGAAATGGGTTGCTCAGATGGTAAGGAATCTGCCTGCAACGCAGGAGACCTGGATTTGATCCCTGAGTCAGGAAATCCTCTGGAGAAGGAGATGGTAAGAATATCGGAGTGGGTTGCCATTTCCTTCTCCAGAGGATTGGCTGATCCAGGGATCAAATCCAGGTCTCCAGCCTTGCAGGCAGATTCCTTAACATCTGAGACACCTATTCTGCTTTTTGCTGAAAATTCTCTCATTTATACTTATTTATACTCCTATTGAGGAGAAGGCAATGGCAGCCCACTCCAGTACTCTTGCCTGGAGAATCCCATGGACGGAGGAGCCTGGTGAGGTGCAGTCTGTGGGGTCGCGAAGAGTCAGACACAACTGAGTGACTTCACTTTCACTTTTCACTTTCACGCACTGGAGAAGGAAATGGCAACCCACTCCAGTATTCTTGCCTGGAGAATCCCAGGGACAGGAGCCTGGTGGGCTGCCGTCTATGGGGTCATACAGAGTTGGACACGACTGACGTGACTTGGCAGCAGCAGCATACTCCTATTGAAACACACACACAATCATTTTGTAAGGCATATAATGTGGTTTACCTTATAGAATAATATATAATATGTGATGAGAGCTTTAACACAAAAATTAAATCATATTGAATGAGAAGAGTTCATTTTTTCTAATTTTATACATTCAACGAGTTTCTTTATGTTTTCTTTTCTCCTATAACAGAAAGTTTATGATAATATGAAACTAAATTTATCATTCTAACTTAATGCCCCTTGCTTTATAGTTGGTAGAAACAAAATTGCCCAATTTGATCTACAAATATTAGGTTAAGCAAAACGTTCATTTGGATTTTTCTGTAAGATAGTATGGAAAAATCTGAATGAACTTTTTGGCCAGCCCAATGTGTTTTTGAGAGTAGGTGAATGCTTTTATAAAAAAAAAGTTTTTGCATGCTAGATGTCCTACATTATGCTAACCTTTCCAAATGCAGAGATGAATGATCTAGATCTTGTCTTCCAGGAATTCATAATAGAATTAAAAAGATTAAAAAGTACACAATCAATTACCCAAAAAGGCAGTCTAAGCATGATGGAGAAACACAATTTTCAGAAATGTCATTTAGCCAAGTTTGCACACTGGGAATGTTTTGCAAATGGTTGATGCCTTAACCCAACATTTAAAAAGTATAGGGGTGAGCCAAAGTGGCATTCCCAGTTGACAAACACCATTTACAAATCATGGAGGCAGGGGAGAACTGACCCTTCCATGTTGGTGTGTCAAGAGATCAAGTTGAAAGGACAGATCGGTAAGAGTTCTCTAGGATATCCTGAAGATAGTGAGAAGCCACTGCAGGATTTTAAATAGAGAATGACATACGATTTGCACTTCAGAAAATCACCTGTGCAATTCTGTGGATATATGTAGGAGATGAAAATGGAGAGAGACTGGTCAGGAGGCTCTTTGGATATCCTGGTAGATTTATGGTTACCACCTGAACCATAGTAATGATAAAGATGATGAGCAGGAAGGAATACATTCAAGAGCTTTTTAAGAGAAAGAGTTGATTGGAAGAGGAGATTGAAGAACTGGGGAAAGTGTTGAATAATGTTGGGTTTCTGGGTCAGATAACTTAGAGTTTCAGATATTGTGAAAATTTGTGAAAGCAGTTTAGCAAAGTTTCAATTTCTGGTGCCTGACTCATTCCCATTAAAAAAAAAAACCTTACATGTGTTGGAGATGTAGACCTCAGGCTTACAGACGTGGATTTGAGACTCACTGACTGTAGATCTATAGTCATGAATGTCATTGAGATCAAGCAGGAGAGTCTATTTAACAAACAATGTATTGGGAATCCTTAGTATTTAAACAATAAGAGGAGGGAGAGTCTACAAAGGAAGCTAAGTATTCAGAATGTAAGAGACAAACCAAAGAAAGAGTGTGATTGGAAGCTAGGGAAACTGTCAAAAAAGGAAAAAAAGGTAAGTGACTAATAGGGCCAAATACTGAAAATTAAAATAAGAAATGAACATTCTCCATTGAATTTGGCAATGTAAAAATTATTGGTGATATTCATGACAGCTGTTGAAGTAGAAAACTGATATACTTGATAAGCAAATAATTGGGCAGAAGTTGAATTATGATAAAAATTCTAAGTTATACAAATCTGTGAATCATTTAAAGAGGATTGCAGAAGTTTTATGACAATATGCTATATTAAATTATGCACTAGAAAAAATAAAGTTTAAATGGAAACTATGTAAATGTGGACTATTTACAGTTAATGATTTTGGTTTTTCAAATTTGTGTATGTTTAGATATGTTTTTCAAACCTGAGTTCTGTCTCATCCATGAGTTGAGAATAAGAGTGATGTCTACACTGGCTTTAAAATTTTCAGACTGTCATTTTTAAGTCACAAGCTAACAGCATTTAAATGGTGCAAATAATTTTAAGTAAATGTACTTTAAAAACTTTTATTATCAAACTATATGCATTTTGGCAAATGAAAACAATGTGCATTTATGTTAAATATTACAAACACAATTTTAGGAGGCATGGAGTATGAAGCTGAAATTAAATTTAATATCAAATAAAACAGCAAAATTTAAAATATAGCAACTCAATATCTTGAAGCCTATATTTTAGATCAAACAACCAATAAGCTATAATTTTTGAATATCACATTTATTTTCTGTTTTTCTCTCACATGTCAGAACTAGATAGGAAATATTTTCATGGCATGCCATTATCTGAAGCTATCATTGGCATTAAACTAATGCGGTTGCTTATCTGGTGATGAAACAATTGCAGCTGAATCATGGCTATTGTTAAGAGAATGTCTCTTTCAAGACACTGGTTAATTGTGTTCTCAGATCTGTTCTTTGAGTTACAGAATGAAATCAGAAATTATTTCCTAGGCTGAATTCAAGCTCCCCTAATTATATGAATAATTTGATTAAAATGTGCTCAGATGATGCAAATGATTAGGAAATTATATGCTTATGAGCCATAATTCCTAAGGCAGTAGCTGTCTACATCATGTTGATGATTAATAATTATGAAGGTTTTATTAGCAAATATAATCTGTCATCAGTGTATAATAATCATGGTCATAGAATGATCCCCTTCACATACATGGAAAACTCTAGTTAACATTTTTATAGTTCACAATTGAATTATTTTAACTGGGGATACACTATTCAATCTATCCTACCTTTTCCTCACATATTAGTAAAATTTGTACATTACCCGACTGTCTCATCCTAAGATTTTTGTACCAACTGACACCTTGCCTTTTCCCATTACACAATCACCCCTTTCCAGACATGTTTAAACAGATGATTAGCAATAATGAGGGCTTCCCTTGTGGCTCAGATGGTAAAGAATCTGCCTGCAATGTGGGAGACCCAGGTTCGATCCCTGGGTCAGAATGTTATCCCCTGGAGAAGGGAATGGCTACCCACTCCAGTATTTTTGCCTGCAGACTCTCCTGGACAGAGAAGCCTGGTGGGCTGCAGTCCATAGGGTCACAAAAAAATCAGAAATGACTGAAGTGACTTAGCACACACAGCACAGCAATAATGAAATTGACAGTGCTGCCATATACTTTCCAAGTATTTCGATTATTACTCATCTACAAAATGTGTATTTCATCTCACCCTGTTAGCCAACTGCCACTGGTTTACTACCATTAATATCAGTTGGATAGGATACTTATGCACACTTGTTAATGTTAAATACATTCAAGATTCTCTCTAATGTAACAAAAATGAATACACAGTGGAAATATTACATTTAATGACATTGTCTGCCTTTGGGTAAGTAAGTAAGTACTGGTGTATACTACATTTAAAAACCTGTGACCAGTCCCTAGAGTTCCTGCTGTTTAACAGTTGATAAAAATGATTGCTTTATATGCTTTAGGGAGTTGTCCTTTGAAAAAAGTATAATAGTCTATAAAAAACCAAGATGCTTGTATGTACCTTTATTATTGCTTAAGGACTAAAGTCCACAAATTTGTGGGATCTGGTGCATTTCATTGTTGGGAGAGTCAACTATTGGCCCAAGAAGCTTCCCAAATGTTATTAAAAATGCTTTTGTGAAAATCAATGCAATCTTATTTTGAAAATGAATATTTATTTTGTGGAATGGAATAGAAGAACTTAATATGACATTAAAGTAGTTTATTGCTTAATATGTTTTTAAAAGTGCACTGCAGAAAAATGTCCAGCATATTGAGCCAACAGAAACATGATTACAGAAGGTCCTTTCTTAGTACATTTAAGCTTTTTTGTTAAATATGAATTGTAATATGATATTAGGTAGTGTGTAATAAAAGTGAAATTGAATCCAGTGAAGACTGGTTACCACGGGATTTAAATCCATTCCGGGGTCAATCAATTCAGATTGTTCAGTAACAATGACAATGAAAGCAGTTCCAATTTGGGGCAGTGTAATACTTTGTTATGGTCTCTTGGACTAAAATACTTTATAATGAAAAGAACTGAAGCTATAGAGTCAGAAGGCCCGGGTTTAAATGGAAGTTTAATTTCTCACTGAATAAGTCATGTCATCAGGCTCAAAACTGAGTGTATCTGAACTATATCACTTAGGAGTGCTTCACATAACAGAATACTCAAATAATAATAGCTTAAACAGATAGATTAAAAAAAATTTTTTTTATGTTACCAGCCTACATCCTGCTTCTTCTATCCAGGCTTCTTTCCACTCCATCCTTAGTATTTGGATATTCACCCAAATATCCAAGGCAAAGATGACTTCTCCATTTCAGACCATCATGTCTTCAGAACAGGAGGGAGGAAAGCTCAGAAAAAAGGAGACAAACATTTTTCTCATTTTGAAGTTTTGTGTCTCCTTTTCTTTTTATTTTAAAAATTTTTTGTGAGGCTGGTGGGATCTCAGATCCCCCTTCAGGGGTTGAACCCTGGTCACAGTAGTGAAAGCCTGGAATCCTAACCACTAGGACACCAGGGAACTCCCTGTTTTGTGTCGTCTTTTGAAATAGAGATTTCTCTTCAGTAGATTTTTAAAATAGATTTTTTAGCTTTGCAGTGAAAGTATTAGTCGCTCAGTCATGTCCGGCTCTTTACGACCCCATGGATTATAGCCTCTTTCCATGGAATTCTCCAGGCAAGAATACTGGAGTGAGTAGCCAGTACCTTCTCTAGGGGATCTTCCCAACCCAGGGATTGAACCCAGGTCTCCCACATTGCAGGCAGATTCTTCCATCTGAGCCACAGCCTTAAGTAACTTATTAATGCCAAGCAAATAGTAATGAGATTACAGGGACATGTTACTTTGCCAAAAAAGGTCCGTCTATTCAAGGCTATGGTTTTTTCCAGTAGTCATGTATGGATGTGAGAGTTGGACTATAAAGAAAGCTGATCACTGAAGAATTGATGCTTTTGAACTGTGGTGGTGGAGGAGACTCTTGAGAGTCCCTTGGACTGCATGGAGATCCAACCAGTCCATCCTAAAGGATATCAGTCCTGAATATTCATTGAAATGACTGATGTTGAAGCTGAAACTCCAATACCCGTCTACCTGATATGAAGAGCTGACTCATTGGAAGGGACCCTGATGCTGGGAAAGATTGAAGGAGGGAAGAGAAGGGGATGACAGAGGATGAGATGGTTGGATGGCATCACCAACTCAATAAACATGAGTTTAACTCCAGGAGTTGGTGATGGACAGGGAGGCCTGGCGTGCTGCAGTCCATGGGGTCAAAAAGAGTTGGACATGACTGAACAACTGAACTGAACTACAGGGACTGTAGTTGGAAAACTCTGTGGTTGGAATATGGACTTACTCTCAGTTCAATAGTTTTTCAACTGAGTAAATATCAAATTCTAGTCAGTAGGAAGATGATGAGGCAGAAGGAATGGATGTAAGATAAATATAAATCATTGTCTGCAACAATACCATTTGTGGTATAACTAGACCATGCTTTAGTTTTCCTGGGACAAGCCCAGTTTAGACCTATTGTTCTTGCATAATTACTCACAACGTACTCTGGAGCAAGCTCTTTGAATGGAGAAATGTAGAATTACTAAGAGGCTGGCAGTATCTTAAGGCTTCAGCTCCAAAATGGCTCTGTCATATTGACTCATGTTCTGTTGGTCAAAGTCAGTCATATGTGGCCAAGACCCAAGTTTATGCAGCAGATACAGGTCCTCCACTTGGACACTCTGTAAAGTCAAGTGTCAAAGGGTCTGTATAGTCCCAGCAGAGGACAGATTCATTTCTCTTTTCACACAAGCTTAAAAATCAAATGTGGGTTTTGGCATGAATATCACTGTGAATATTAGCTATTTAAGTTCCAGTAAGGGAGGTAAGGGTGGGTTTTGCTGGTGGCTCAGTGGTAAAGAATCCACCTGCCAATGCAGGAGATGCGGGTTCAGTCCCTGGGTGTGGAGGATTCCCTGGAGAAGGAAATGGCAACCCACTCCAGTATTCTGGCCTCGGAAATCCCATGGACAGAGGAGCCTGGCGAGCTACAGTCCATGGGGTTGCAAACAAGTTGAACATGACCGAAGCAACTAAACAACAGTAAAGGGAAATAGAGTAGGTGGGTGTCTCCAGGATGAGATGAGTAAATGCGATTAGTGTTTCACTGAATAATTGGATATCTAAACAGCCCTTTTAAAAGCTACATGTAAATCCATGGCTGATTCATGTCAATGTATGGCAAAAACCCACTACAATATTGTAAAATAATTAGCCTCCAACTAATAAAAATAAATGAAGAAAAAGAAGTTACAAAGGATTATTATATATTATTGAACTTCAGGATAGAGTTGTATGATTTTTCAAACACATACTCTAGTGAGTCCAACCTGATCAATAAGATAATTTATAAATCAAGAAGTGAAATGAATATATGCAGGTTAGTTTTAACGATTGTTGGTTTTGATGAATTGTTTTCCTTGCTCTTTCATTTTTAGAATAATTATTTTAGGCTATAAGAAACCTTTGGAAAGAGAGGATCTTTTTGAACTTAATGAAAGCGATTCCTCCTATATTGTGTGTCCCATCTTTGAGAAACAATGGAGGAAGGAAGTTTTAAGGACTCAAGAGAAGCAAAAAGTAAAGGTAATTATTAAATCCTTAGTACTTAACTGCATAACTTGTTCCAAATATGAGATATTATTATTAATATAGAAAATCCTTTAAATATGTTAAATAACATGTCATTTCCCTAACAATACTAGCTGTTATTAAAGCTAATTTCTGTCATCAAATTATTCAGCAGCTCTTTAAAGCTCAGGAGCAAGTGTGTTATATGTATTTAATTTGGGGCTTCTCACCAGTATCCTTCCTCATCCATAGTTGCAAAGATAGTTTCCATATCCCAGAGCATCATATCTATTGGTCAAAGTAAGTCATGTAGTGGCCAAGGCCAAGACTTATGGGGGGCAAGAGTAGGTTCTTCATATGTAGCATCATGCGCATGTGCCCACACACACACACATGAATATATATATACACACACATATATATAATGTATGTATATATAGTCTTTAGACTTCTCAAAAAGAAAATATAATTTGAAGATAAAAACTGTATTAGTGAAATAGTTTCAAAACTCACAAAAGTGATTTTAAAAAATGGTTTCTTTTTCTGTTTATGCCATATGGTATGAATAACACCAAGTGGTTTGGCACCATTCTATAACAATAATAGGGACCATGTTTTCAAGTTTAATTGAACTTATTCCTTTCATATTGCTTTTTTAACTTTGGAGTACATTACTAATTTTATGATTATATATATTTATGGATTAGTTCTGTTCTCTTTTCTCATTGCTTTTGTCTTCCTTAATTATATAGTCATCTTTTCATAAAGAGGCACACACCAGGAAGCCATCTCTACTCCGGGCATTGTGGAACACTTTTAAGTTTGTCCTGATTCAGGTTGCTTTATTCAAAGTATTGGCTGATGTTTTGTCCTTCACTAGCCCACTCATAATGAAGTAAGTTGAAATATTTTTTTTTTCTTCCTTTCCCACAAGTACCTGATATGGAAGTTTACTGTTTCACTTAAAAAATGTACTAAAAAAGAGTGGGGTGGGTTCATATTACAGATTTTATTTAGGATACAGGCTTTCTATTAAGTTTGCTTGTGATATGAATGTGAATTATGATAATATAGTAATTATTGAAACAACCATGTACTAAGCACTATTCTAAAATCTTTATATTAATTATCTAATCTAATCTTTACAACAATCCTACAATGTAAGAAGTAATACTGTACTCACTAGCACAATGTAGAAACAAAGAAATCTCTGTAATTTGCCTAAGACCACACAACTAGAAAATACAAGAGTCACAACACAAATCTAGGAAGTCTGGCTTGAGTTTATATGCCGGAGCCTGCCAGCAAACGAACCGGTCACGGGCGCAATCGCCAAAATACCTGAGAAATAAAGACTCGGAAAGATGGGGTTGAGAGGGATGGAGTCAGCTCTCGACTGAAACTGACAACTTTATTGAGGGGTAACATACATATATATGCTAACAGGACTCACTAAATTTAGATCAAGGACATGTATACGTGCAGAATCGCAGGCATTAGTCTTCGCTCAGGAATTTTATCTCAACTCTTTAAGACTAGCAGAGCAAGGGACTGGCTGTCTTAGTATGATTACAATCAGTTAAAGATTATCTAAAGATTACCTAGACATAAACCATACACTGGAGCCTGGCAATCTCATCAGGAAAATGGGTAAAAGGTCGCTGCAGCAATTTCCTTGAGGGAGGTAAGAAAGGCCAACCTGCACTTTAATAAATCAAGGGTGGCGGGACAGAGAGGGACCTCTTGATCTCTCTCAGGGCCAAGAAGGAGCCTGAGCAGTCAGGCCGGCTCCCCACATCTCCCCCATCTCCCTCAAGGGAAATGGCTGCGTTTGCAAACGGGAAAACATCAACAGTCTTTTATTTATCATTTCAGATAGGCATTGACAAATGCAAGGGCCAAAGGTTGTAGGTGCCGTGGGTCCATACTGGGCACAAGCCTGCTTAAGCTCCTTTAACTGTTTAAATGGAACAGGCTCATGATACCTGCAGCGGTTAGTGTCTTCAAAGACTGGAAAAATCATGGAATATCCCTCAAGGCTTTCTCCTTGGTCTCTAGCATGTTTAACAGCCATTTGAAGTGGGGAAAGGACGGGTTTTTCAAATTTCAAAGGAGAATATACAGGAGCTGTAGGTATTAAGGGAGCCTCAACAAAAGGAGGAGGCATAGGGGGAATCGGAACGGGATCCAATCCTGCCACAACAGACGGTGTATTGGAGTGCAGTGGCTTGGTACCCGAAGGAGGCAGCAAGTCTAACTGCTCCACTCTCTGTGATATGGATGTTAACATTTCTTTAAGTTCCGAAAGGGGGGATGCCTTGTCCTTCCCTTTTGTGACAATAAAAGCATCCCAATTCTCTCTATTGTACTCAAATGCTTGCTCATCTAGTTCTTCTTGATCCTCATGAGAGAGTTCAGGCTCTGAGTCAGATGTTAAAGCAACAGCCTCCTTTTTACTAGATTTTGGGTCTTCTGGGGAATCGCAAATGTGTTCAACTGTCCCGGAGGTAGGCTGCAGATTTTTAGGAGTTATAAGCTTTAGAGCAGTTTCTAATTTTTTGCTTTCATGTTCTGGATTTAAACAATCCCTGATCAAAGTCCACAAGGAATAAGCGTCGAGGGGAACTTTATCGGGGCCATGCAAAGTATAAGCCAATTGAATTTTCTCTCTCACTTTTGTCCAAGTTTCCAGGCTAACCGTTCCTTCCTCTGGAAACCAAGGGCAAGTTTCTTCTACAAAACTAAGAAATTTTTCTAGCTTAGGCTTAGTTACAGAAATACCTCTAGCTTTAAGCATAGTTTTTAACATAGAAACAAAGAACTGTTTACTATTACTTTGACCCATAATTTTTACTGTCAACTATACCCTCTCCACCCACAATACCTGCAACTTCAGATGCTGCCTGCGGGATTACTTGTTCTTGGGTGGCTGTAGTCCGGGATCCGCTCGTGTCCCTGTGCAGGCGCCACTTGCCAGAGCCTGCAATCGCCGAAATACCTAAGAAATAAAGACTTGGAAAGATGGGGTTGAGAGGGACGGAGTCAGCTCTCGACTGAAACTGACAACTTTATTGAGGGGTAACATACATATATATGCTAACAGGACTCACTAAATTTAGATCAAGGACATGTATACGTGCAGAATCGCAGGCATTAGTCTTCGCTCAGGAATTTTATCTCAACTCTTTAAGACTAGCAAAGCAAGGGACTGGCTGTCTTAGTATGATTACAATCAGTTAAAGATTATCTAAAGATTACCTAGACATAAACCATACACTGGAGCCTGGCAATCTCATCAGGAAAATGGGTAAAAGGTCGCTGCAGCAATTTCCTTGAGGGAGGTAAGAAAGGCCAACCTGCACTTTAATAAATCAGGGGTGGCGGGACAGAGAGGGACCTCTTGATCTCTCTCAGGGCCAAGAAGGAGCCTGAGCAGTCAGGCCGGCTCCCCGCATTTATATGTTTAGGAAATGAAATGACACATACCTTTACTATTTTTCTTTGCTGTGGCCTTTTTGGAATTGAACTTTATCAGCCAAGGTAATAATATATAAATATATATCTGCATGTGTTTATGTGTGGGCTTCCTTGGTGGCTCAACCGGTAAAGAATCCACCTGCAATACAGCAGACCTAAGTTTGATCCCTGGGTTGGGAAGATCCCTTGAGAAACCCACTCCAGTATTCTGGCCTGGAGAATTCCATAGACTTTATAGTCCATGGGGTTGCAAAGAGTCAGACACAACTGAATGACTTTTTGGAATTGAACTTTATCAGCCAAGCAAATAATAATACATAATACTGCATGTATTTATGTGTAAATATAGAGAAAAATATTTAAGTAATTTCTATTTCTGATAGTGTCTATATGCAAGAATTCATGAGCAGACAGTAAAATTGAGTCTTTGATTATAGGTCTCCTTGATTATATGCCTCCAAGGGTACAAGGAAAGAATTTTTTATTAACCAATTATTAATATTTTTTGTTTTGAATATGTTTTCAAGTTGGAGTTTTTAAAGAACAATTTAATTCATGAAAATAAAACTAATTCTGAGTTGCCAGATCCCAAATCACATCTGAGCACCTATTTAGCCCATATTTATTAAGCGCCTGCTATATGCCAAACTGTTCTAAGTACGCCATAAGAACTGAGCAAAAATCAAAAAGTCCTTACTCTGATGACACCTAGAAGGGAGAGATAAATAATAAATGAATCAGTATACATTTTATTAAGAGGTAATTACTGCTAAGGAAAACAGTACAGCAAAGTAGTGGGGCAGACCATACTGGTCTGAGGGACTGGAAGTTGCTGTTTTCTGTGAGGTGGTCAGGGAAGACATTGGTTATAATGGTGAGACTTGAACACGGTTCTGAGAGAAGTTAGGGAGCAAGCCAAGATATACCTGCTGCAAACAGGAAGAACAAAGAGGGCTAAAGCCATGTGGCAGCAGCATGCTTGGTATTTTTGAAGACTCATAGGAGGCAAGTGAGTGGAGCAGGGAAGCTGAGAGGAAAAGTGATAGGATTGAGGTCAGATATATACACTACCGTCTGTAACATAGCAAGTGTGAAGCCACTGTATATAGCACATGGAGTGTGGCTCCGTGCTCTGTGATGAGCTAGAGGGATGGGATTGGGGGGTGGCAGGGAGGCTCAAGAGAGAGGTTAATAAATGTATACTTATAGCTGATTTGTGTTGCTGAAAAGCATAAACTAACTCAACATTGTAAATCAAGAATATTCCAATTAATAAAAAATAAAGACATTGTGGGAGGAGGGAGAAAAAAAGATTGAGGTCAGAAAGTTTGGGCAGCTAAAAAGATTTTGAAGGACCTTACAGAATGTGGGGGGAGGCTTTGTGCCTGAGGTGTTCTCTGGGTCCCAGGGTCCACAATGTTCATTATTTTCTGGGATCTATGGAGTGAGGCTGCGCATCTGGATCTGTCATGGCCAAGGGGGTGGACATTCACTCCCAGGCCCTGAGCAAGGGTACAGGGCAATCCCAGGCCCCTTGATATGTATGAGGGGTTGAGGGGAGTATCGAAACAATGCCAGGACAGCGGACGTAGATGTCACTGCCACCCTTCCCCCTCCTTCCCTACATTCACACCTGTACACAGTGGCCAGAATCCTTTAGATGAGAGATAAAAGCTAGAGCTCTCACTGGTGAAACTTGGGCCCCAGGCCTCCAGAATTCCTCCTCCAAAACTCCTTCTTTCTGTTTGAGAGGCAGGAGTGCCCTAGTAAGGCCCTGAAGACAGGGATTCCACCCTTCATTTCCAGCGTGGGCACAGTGCAGGCAGATGACGGCATACTCTCTTCAGAATTCCAGAGGGCGAAAGCCAACTTCAGGCGGCCACCTGGCCAGAATCCTTTAGATGAGAGATAAAAGCTAGAGCTCTCACTGGTGAAACTTGGGCCCCAGGCCTCCAGAATTCCTCCTCCAAAACTCCTTCTTTCTGTTTGAGAGGCAGGAGTGCCCTAGTAAGGCCCTGAAGACAGGGATTCCACCCTTCATTTCCAGCGTGGGCGCAGTGCAGGCAGATGACGGCATACTCTCTTCAGAATTCCAGAGGGCGAAAGCCAACTTCAGGCGGCCACCTGGGTGATGAGGACCATTCCTTTCTTCCCCTTTCTCCCCCACCATGAGACCAGCAACATTGGGCCAAAGTTTCACACCTTAAAAAGTACAAAGTTTCCCTATTGTTACAATGCAGATTCCAAGGCCAGCCTCTGAGTTTCTGCTTCACAAAGTCTGGGGGAGGATCCAGAAATCTGAATTTTAAAAAAGTTCAAAGTAGGCAGCTCCAAGAATCTTGAAGAAAATGATCCCCCATTATTCCCCCTCCACATCCAGAGTAGAGCAGGGCCACAACAAAACCACTGAGTGGCTCCCCCAATATTTAGCGGAGGGCTTCCCTGCTGGCTCAGACAGAAAAGAATCTGCCTGCAATGCAGGAGCCCGGGGTTCAGTCCCTGGGTCAGGAAGATTCCCTGGAGGAGGAAATGGCAAACCACTCCAGTATACTTGCCTGGAGAATTCCATGGACAGAGGAGCCCAGTGGGCTACAGTCCATGGGGTCCGCAAAGAGTCGGACATGACTGAGCGACTAACACATTAATGCATAGAGAATGGGAGGGGGGCTTTCCCAGTGGTTCCGCAGTAAAGAATCTGTCTGCAATACAGGAGATGCAGGAGACTCTGGTTCGATTCCTGGGTCAAGAAGATCCCTTGGAATAGGAATTGGCAACCCACTCCAGTATTTTTGCCTGGAGAATTCCATGGACAGAGGAGCCTGGCAGGCTTCAGTCCAAGGGGTTGCAAATAGCTGGACACAACTGAGCAATTCAGCATACATGCGCAGAGAATGTGATGATATAGGCTTTCATGTTGTGTTAGAAGGGAAACCTTTGGAAGATTTTAAGCACAGAGTGATATGATTAGACTGCAGTTTCATAGGAATCACTCTAGTGGCTATATCAAAAATGAAGTAAAGAGGAGCAAGAGTGGAAGAAGAAGCAGCTATTAGCCAACTATGGTAATCCAGGCAGAAGTCAATGGTGGCTTCAAGATTATGTCAATGAAGGTGATAAGTGGTCAGATTCTGACTTTATTTTAAATGTAGAGTCAACATTATACATTAATGTTTCAATGTAGGTTGAGAGAAGAAGAAAGGAGTTATGGTGCATTCAGAGTTTTTGTTTGCCACAAGGTGAATGAGTTATCATTTACTGACATACAGAAGGCTCAGAAAAGAGTAAGGAGTGCAATTTGCTAAATTTGAAATATGCATTAGATTTTCTGCAGAATTAAAGTAACAGACCTGACTGTCGTCCTTTGGAAAGATTGTTTATACGACTGGCCTCAGGCTGGCAATTAGAACTTAAATTTCAGGAGGGTTCCCACTTACCCTAGCTGATAAGAGTGGTTCAATATGGCCAGACTGTTTTATACAGTCAATATGATCCATGCTGAATTCCTGCTTTTTTTTCTGCATGTTTGGAATTTTGGCCTGTGTTAGAAAGAGGGTACCCTGGATGCTGAGTTTTTAAGGGGCTTCCTTGTTGCTGTTCAGTCACTAAGTCATGTCTGAATCTTTGCAACCCTGTGAACTGCAGCATGCAAGTCTTCCTTGTCTTTCACTATCTCCCGGAATTTGCTCAGACTTGGTGATGCCATCCAACCATCTCATCCTCTGTCACCCCCTTCTCATCCTTCCCTCAATTCTTTCCAGCATCAGGGTGTTTTCCAATGAGTTGGCTTTAGGGGAGTGGCCACATCATCATGGTTATATGGGTCATTAAGACTTTTTTTTGTAGAGTTCTTCTGTGAATTCTTGCCACCTCTTTTTCATCTTTTCTGCTTCTGCTAGGTCCCTACCATATCTGTCCTTTATTGAGCCCATCTTTGCATCAAATGTTCCCTTGGTATCTCCAGTTTTCTTGAAGAGACCTTTAGCCTTTCTGATTCTATTGTTTTCCACTATTTCTTTGCACTGTTCACTTAAGAAGTCTTTCTTATCTCTCCACGCTGTTCTCTGGGATTCTGTGTTCAGGTGGATCTTTCCTTTTCTCCTTTGCCTTTTGCTTCTCTTCTCTTCTCAGCTATTTGTAAGGCCTCTTCACACAACCACTTTGCTTTCTGGAATTTCTTTTTCTTTGGGACCATTTTGGTCATCACCTCCTGTACAATGTTGATGAGATTACCGTATGAAAACTAGAAAATACCTTTCTACCCAGAAGCCTGAGAAACTAGTTGTTGACTCTGTGTGAGTGTGTGCTCAGTCACTCAATCGTGTCCAATTCTTTTGTGACCCCATGGATTGGGGTCCCCTGTGAAAAGGATTTGCCAAGCAAGAATACTGTAGTGGGTTGCCATTTCCTTTTAGAATGGAATTCAGGCATCCTGCTTCTGGCTTTATTTATATAAAGCTTGAGTAAAAATAAAGGGAGGAAGGATGCCAAATTGGGCAAGTGGATAAAAAGAGCAGGCAAGAATATGTGTGTGTATGTGTGTGTGTGTGTGTAACATTTTGACAGTACTTAGTTCACATAAGTATTTTATTACTTTGGATGTTTAACACTTCTTCCCTTTTCTCGATTTGTATATGACCTTCAGGCAAATGATCCTTTTCTGTGAACAACGCCCAGATTTTGGCTGGAGTGGTTATGGCTATGCTTTGGCGCTTTTTGTTGTAGTCTTTTTGCAAACCCTGATCCTTCAGCAATACCAGCGTTTTAAAATGCTCACTTCAGCAAAAATTAAGACAGCTGTAATTGGACTGATCTACAAAAAGGTAAAAGATTTAAGAAATTCCAAGTTTTTAAATGGATTGTGTCCAATGTGTGCTTTAAAATAAGGGATCTGGAAAATTAGAAGTAGTATCTTAAAAATTTCTAGTATGCAATTTGAATATACATTTTGCTGAAAAATAACTTTGACTCATCAATGTTGGTTACATCAGTTTCTTTACAGGGTCCTCTCTCTATATTTCCAGAAACTTCTAGTCGACCCTCATGCGTGAAACTAAATGATGTTCTTTGTCCACTCTTAATGTCACTTAACTCCTCCTCAGAAAAAGAATGGAATTGAATATTTCATGATTGTCTCTATTTATGTATCAATAAATAATTTCCATGGTCATTTTCCTTCTACATAATACCTTTTCCTTCTTCCTCTGCTCACTCTACTTTTTCCTGAAACAAAGCCATACTCCTCTATAGAGTCGTTATCTATTTCTCTTTGAGTCTAATCCCCCTCCTACCGACCCCAAAAGCTGGTTGGCTCTTATACCTAGCATGACTCTAAAGTTTAATTTGTCCTTTCTTGAAAATGCAGTCTTAAACATCACCTCTTTACCATTCAGAGCCTATTTACATCATAATTATAAACAATTAAAAACCTTCCTCCCTTCTGTTGTTATTACTGAGTTATTCAGTCAAAAGTATATTTTGCCTTCTTATTCTGTAGTCGTATGTCAATCTGTGTTCTTCAGATTTGGAATAGAAACTTAACTTACGTATTGTACCTTTATCATCTAAGAGAGTGGTTTTTACTTATTTTTATAAAAGTTGGAAGACTGAGTAAATGAATAAATGAGCCATTACCTTCAAAACTAGGGAACTATTAAGCATACATAATAAATGTGTGAAACTATCAATAAATGTAAATGTTGTAAGAAATCAGATGAGCAGGAAATCTACAATATTTGATTGGAAAGTTAAGGAAGGTTTCACATAGAAAGGAGCCTTGAAATAATCTCTGGGAGAAGTGTAGGATTTGTTGACCTGGATATGAAGTGTCACAGACCATTTGGCCATATTAGGCCAAACTGGAGGCAGCAAGTGATTTTAGAGATTCTAGAATGATCCAAACCCAACTAAGCCAGAATATAACTGAACTTGCAGTAAACCTAGCTCTATGTGAAACTGAAAGTATTATTTAAAAATTTCTAGTATGCAATTTGAATATACATTTTGCTGAAAAATAACTTTGACTCATCAATGTTGGTTACATCAGTTTCTTTACAGGGTCCTCTCTCTATATTTCCAGAAACTTCTAGTCGACCCTCATGCGTGAAACTAAATGATGTTCTTTGTCCACTCTTAATGTCACTTAACTCCTCCTCAGAAAAAGAATGGAATTGAATATTTCATGATTGTCTCTATTTATGTATCAATAAATAATTTCCATGGTCATTTTCCTTCTACATAATACCTTTTCCTTCTTCCTCTGCTCACTCTACTTTTTCCTGAAACAAAGCCATACTCCTCTATAGAGTCGTTATCTATTTCTCTTTGAGTCTAATCCCCCTCCTACCGACCCCAAAAGCTGGTTGGCTCTTATACCTAGCATGACTCTAAAGTTTAATTTGTCCTTTCTTGAAAATGCAGTCTTAAACATCACCTCTTTACCATTCAGAGCCTATTTACATCATAATTATAAACAATTAAAAACCTTCCTCCCTTCTGTTGTTATTACTGAGTTATTCAGTCAAAAGTATATTTTGCCTTCTTATTCTGTAGTCGTATGTCAATCTGTGTTCTTCAGATTTGGAATAGAAACTTAACTTACGTATTGTACCTTTATCATCTAAGAGAGTGGTTTTTACTTATTTTTATAAAAGTTGGAAGACTGAGTAAATGAATAAATGAGCCATTACCTTCAAAACTAGGGAACTATTAAGCATACATAATAAATGTGTGAAACTATCAATAAATGTAAATGTTGTAAGAAATCAGATGAGCAGGAAATCTACAATATTTGATTGGAAAGTTAAGGAAGGTTTCACATAGAAAGGAGCCTTGAAATAATCTCTGGGAGAAGTGTAGGATTTGTTGACCTGGATATGAAGTGTCACAGACCATTTGGCCATATTAGGCCAAACTGGAGGCAGCAAGTGATTTTAGAGATTCTAGAATGATCCAAACCCAACTAAGCCAGAATATAACTGAACTTGCAGTAAACCTAGCTCTATGTGAAACTGAAAGTATTAATTGCTCAGTTGTGTTCAAGTCTTTGCGACCCCTTGGACTGTAGCCTGCCAGGCTCCTCCGTCCATGGAATTTTCCAGGCAAAAATACTACAGTGTGTTGCCATTTCCTTCTCCAGTGGATCTTCCCGACCTAGGCATTGAACCTGGGTCTCCTGCATTGCAGGCAGATGCTTTGCCTTCTGAGCCACCAGGGAAGCCCTGTATAACTAGCTCTGTGTAACACACCCCAGATACAGGGTCAGAAAGGCTGTTTGTAATTCTACAAGTTGTAACTTCTGAGAAATACAATATGGAGAAAAGATATGAAATACAAATATTAAAGAATCTAGGAATCAGTTTAAATGCTAACATTTGTTTCCCATATATGGCCTATATGGAACAGGTCTTCATTCATTGATTAAAGCATTGGAGCTTGGGTATAGGATTTGGGTGGATTTACAAGCATAAAAGAATAGGTAGCAGTAGAAATTGAAGCAAACCATCAGAAATAAAAAAGAAAGTCAAGTCTTGTGGGTGAGTACATTAAAGGCAAAGAGACCCTGGAGATAATGTAAGAGGGAATAGAGTCTACCGGAGTGAGACTATATGGGTCCTTAGAGATTATTTAACAACAAAGAGCTCTCTAAGATCAGAGGGGTTCCATGGGTCCTGCAGTATGGATTAAGATTGAATTCTTAGTCCATCAGACAAGCAGCAGAAGACATTAGTTAGTGACCTGTAGTGTTCAGAGGCCCTGGGTGGCCCATGCAGGTGACATTAATATAAGGCAGTCTTTCTTCTGAATCTCTTATCCTATATCTGCTTTCCAAAGGGACTAATTGGGGTTATTAGATCTCTCGTCTCCATTACAAGTTTTAGGATTCTGATGTTTATCATGTTTCGATAACCTCAGGATCCTAAATGGCTCTCATAGATGACCAGATAACTCATATTCATCTGACATTGGCACTCCTTCATCAGATATTCATGACTAGACTTGGGTAAAACTGGTCTCACATCCTTTTCCTGGTGAGGAGGGGAGATGTTAGAAAGCTCTTTATCTCTACCCATCAGCATGACAGCTACTACTCTAGTAAAGTTCAAGGGACTTCATTTTTAAGGTTTGTGGGGAAGAACATGGACCTCTTTATACTTGACCACTTCATGAGTCTTTGGGTCTCAAAACTCAGTTTTGTTACCCTTTCGCTCCCAATTACAGGCTCCATGACAGTTTTTGAGGACTAAGAACATGAAATGTTTCAAAAGCAGCATCAGTTAGTCCTGTGCTTAATGCGGGCAGCCTGTGGGCATTTTGTCAAATGCCATCCAGTAGAAGTTTTTCTGATTTTTAAATTATTCTATATCCACATTGTGCAGTATGGTAGCTACTAATCACATATGACTGTTGAAACTGAAAACCTGACTAGTAAGAGCAAGGAAGTAAATTTTTAATTTCAATTAAATTTAATATCCATATCTAGACTGTCTACACTTGTGGCTAAAGGATATTCTTTCCTTAATTGTGGGAAGAATACAGTATAAAGAAAATTGATTAAATTCTTTTTCCATTCCTTAAAATAGAGATACTTAAATGTAATCAGAAGGAGAAGAAAGAAAGAGAATCCTGGCATACTTTTTTGCATCCAAAAGAGCTAAAGAAAATGAATTCTCATAGATTTATGAGGATTCACCTTTACATACATCATGACTCATTGGAACTGTGGTAACCACTGAGAATCACTGGGATAGAAATGTTTAGGGCTCTTCCAGGTCTAAATTATATAATGTCTATGACTCCGAGCTAGGGTGGTCAGGAAAAATAGTTCAAGAAATAAATATTTGAACCAGGGCTGTGGAAAAAAAAAAAAAAAACTAGCAAAGAACAAATATATGAGGGAGAATGTGAAATTGCAAAGCAAATTTCATAATCATATGACAAAATGAACCATTACTGAATTGAGGTCAGTACTAAACAAGATATTTCCAGTTTGTAAAAAGGATTCTTGAGGCTGGGAGCCATATATGCTTTATCTGGGTCTTTTTATGACTTCCCTGGTGGCTCAGATAGTAAAGAATCTGCCTGCAATGCGGGAGACACAAGAGACTCAGGTTCAGTCCCCGGGTCAGGAAGATCTGGAGAAGAGAATGGTTACTCATTCCAGTATTCTTGCCCGGATAATTCCATGGACAGAGGAGCCTGGCGGGCTATGGTCCATGTATTCGCAAAGAGTTGGACACGATTGAGCAACTAACACTTTTTTAGAGCAAAATGCAATGAATGAAGTTTCAAAAAATAATGTCACAAGTAGTGTTACTAGTCTTCCTGAGTGGGACCCCAACAAGGGTCCTTCTGCCCAGCGCCCTTCGAGCTATCTGAGTCCTGGTCAGGAGCAAAGGAAGGTTTTATTCTTTGATTAGATAATGAAGAGGTGTGGGCCTGTTCTCTTGAGCACCCACTCTCCCAATAGGCAGTAGGTAGGGCTGCTTTATAGAGATCCCTCAAAGCGAGGTTCTTGTGCAGTTGGAGCAGGGGCAGCTGGGCGGCTTAGGCTCCAGATGGCAGTTCCTGGAGCAGCGTGTCTGCACGTGGCCTGCAGCTACCATCTTGGATTTTGCGTCACGCACAGCTTCTGCATGTGGACGCCCAGCCAAGGTGTAGGCTCCACTGTTTCATTTCACAGGAGGAACCCTGGTCTGAAGGGCCAGATACAAGACTCTGCAAATGAGAATTGACTAAGCACTAGGGAAGAGGAAAAAAAAAATAATAATAATGACAAGGTAAGACTTTATTTTATTACTCAGTTCTCTGAGAATTGTTAATGGCCTTTGCTAGTACAGTTGTGCATTGTGTGTTTTCCTAAAGGAGGGCATTTATTTGATTCCTTGGGCAATTTGATTATTTTGAACTACCCAGTCTTTTAGTTTTCACATAAGTCAGTTTATATTTTCCTTCTAGAAAAATAGGATAATGTGTTTCTATTTGTTTGTAATAGTAAGTTGGAGGTGGATGCTATTAGAGATCAATGGGTCTCACTTAAAAAATGCTGTAGTCTTAATGAAATGAGAATAACTGTTCTTGGACTCCCATCATTTTTCTTGGCCACTTAAATGGTCAGTAACTTATTCAGTTCAGTTGAGTCACTCAGTCATGTCCGACTCTTTGCGACCCCATGAAACACAGCATGCCAGCCCTTCCTGTCCATCACAAACTCCCAGAGTTGACTCAAACTCATGTCCATCGAGTCAGTGATGCCATCCAACCATCTCATCCTCTGTCGTCCCCTTCTCCTCCTGCCGCCAATCCCTCCCAGCATCAGGGTCTTTTTCAATGAGTCAACCCTTCACATCAGGTGGCCAAAGTACTGGAGTTTCAGCTTCAGCATCAATCCTTCCAATGAACACCCAGGACTGATCTCCTTTAGGATGGACTGGTTGGATCTCCTTGCAGTCCAAGGGACTCTCAAGAGTCTTCTCCAACACCACAGTTCAAAAGCATCA